AGAGCTGACAGAAGCACTAGACACTTGGCGGTCCGGTAGCTCAGTTGCTTGCCAGGAAGCAAGCGAAGGCGACCGACCGGCGTGAAGAGAGCGCATGAGCTATGCATTATTGAGACCGGAGCAGTGCGTTCATCAAGTCAAGTCAAGCCGATACCCAATATTTGAATATTTGCGAGATACCAAAGTCAATCCCGGCTCTGAGTGAGTATGCCAAGGGACAAATACCACGCGCACACCACAGCACACCACAGCACAGCACACATTAGAGTCATGTGGAGGAGATGGTTGTCTAGAACTATGTACATACATATATGTAAAATATATTATATGTACATATATTATCCACAAGGGTCGACACCACACCACGTAGTGAGCGGCAGCCAAAATCACATGTTAGAGCGGTGGAGGGGAAAGAGCGAGCAATAGAGGTGTGGGAATTGAAATGAAATGCAGACCCAAAAGCCGCTTACCACAGGCAGATGAGATAGAAAATATGCGAATAAATTATGTGTGGTGTGGCACAGCATACAATATACGATATATCCACACTAGTCAGTCGAATAGCTACATACATACATAATATAATCTTCACATGTCTGGCGGCGGCAGGCATATTGGACTGCGACTGGTACTGGGAACGGACCGAGAGAGAGAGAGAGAGAGAGAGAGTCTTTTGTTAGTGGCTAGAAGATGAAGATGCGTTGAAAATGTTCTTCAAAAAGACAGGCCACACACACACACGCACACAGCTGCACAGATTAGGTCTCATACACATAACGGAATTAGCAAAAAAAATCTGTGCATGGCTACCAGAAATATTGCCTGCATTTTGTTATACTTAGAATCGGACCGAACGCGGACAATAATAAACAAACAAAATGCATTGCAAAACAACCAGCAAAGAGACCAACAGAGTGAGAGAGAGAGAGAGAAGGAAAGGAGAACCAGATGATAGATAGATAGTTGAAGAGTGCAGAAGCCAAAATGAATGGTTATCATAATAAAAGAGGGATATGTGTCTTGCCCCTTTGGGGTTGGAATATCCAATCAAACAGTCTCTTTGTATGGGCAATGAGCATGCATCGAATATTTATTTATTCACAATTGAATTTTTTTTAATGGAACTTTTCTAGAAATTATTTCAAGGGGGTTGAGGTCAAAGCCAAGCCATATAAATAGAATTATACAACATTTGAAAACACATTTTCAATTTGCTTATATGCCGTAAAAAAAAAACACATTTAAATGTGCCTTTAGTGCTCCATTCCGATCTCAACACTCCATACATCGATTGTGCAACTATTAGTGCCGAATTTTGTTGCCATGTTCCATATGGTAGCTGGAGGTCTCAGCGAACAAAAGTAGCGCACAGCGAATAATTATGAACTGGCGGGGACAGACGGGACAGCAGACATAACAGAGATGCCGCCAGGCAGACAGCCATCAGGGATAGAGAGAGTGAGAGAGAGAGAGATAGAGAGAGTGGGAGACAGAGAGCAGATACAGACAGGTGGCCAGGTGGCAATGTGGGGATGTAGTGGCAGAGATTAGTCGTGCGTTGGATGCCAAGCGAATGCGAAACAAAAAAAAATGGAATCTCAAATCGGTGCTAGCTCGGCCAGGGCAGACGAATAGCGGAACTTTTGGGGCGAGTTAAATATAAACATCATATTTACGGGGAATTACTTAACAGCCAATTTGGCATTGTACAGCACCAACCACCTACAAACATACATACATATTTACGTACATAAATTCATACTCGTGTATGGCCCGCCAGTCTGGTCTGGTCTGGTCCGTGCAAATTTTCTGTATGTCTATTTAACTTAATTTACTAGACGATTTCAAATGCCGAATGTGATGTGATGTGCTGTGTCCGTGCCCGTGCCAGCGCCTTTGCCTTGTGCTTGAACTTGCCAAAAACAAAAAAAACAAAAAATATCGAAAAAATTGAATCGACCCAAAAGCACAGAGAAACCAGAACAGAACGGAACAGAGCAGAGCAGCACAACGTAACCGCGCAAACGTAACGTAAACAAAATGCCGTTCGCTTGCACGATGTTCTCTTCTCTCCTCGCCTCTGCCTCTGCTACTGCCCCTTGTTTGCTGGTTCCGTTAGTTCGTTGGATTGCTTGGCCACCGCTCATCTATTTTGTATTCCTACATATTCGTAATTCCCCTTCGCATTCCCCATTGCCCATTCCCGTTGCCGATTCCCAATCCCATTTTCATACACACTCATATTCACGGCGGACGAAGTCTCAGTCCTTGGCGAAACGCGGCGCGTTCGATCGAGCATTCTTTTATTATTTGTTTGTGCTAATTTTAAATGTCTTTGTTAAAATTATAATATATCTAGCAAGCATACATAAGTATGTACATACATACATAAATATGCCGCCTAGTGTCATTCAAATTCTACGGTCCCTGCAAGTGTTATTCCCTGCCACCAGTCAAGCCCAACATTTGTGATAAATCTAACCGAAACGGAACCCCCCCCCCACAAGAAAATCAAATCACAGCGGCGATTTTGGAATACCTAATACCTAACGATAAGCGGGCAGAGGAGAAATGTAAGCAGCAGCGCCAGTAGCAGCAGCAGCAGCAGGCTTTTAATTAATTCGCAATCTCTCAACCTGACGACGACGTGCAGCAATTTTCCAATAATGGCCAAATGCAATTTGCCGCTGGAAGCAAAAATGGTAGAATCCGGCAGGAGGGGAAAAGCAACAGGAAAAATTGAAACGGAATGTTTGCCCCAGCATATGTTCTCTCTGCTCCCAGGGGCGTCTGTTCGTCTGCTCGCCCTTGCTCATCTTCACTGCTTCACTCTTTCCCCCACTCCCTCTCCGGCTTACTCACACCACCCATACCTCGTTCTCCCTTGCTCCCATTATCCACCATCTCTCTCTCTATCGCTCTGCATCTGTCCCGCTCTTTATCTATCTATATCTCTGCTTTGCTGCCGTCTGCTGTCAGCTCTTGTTGTAATTGCTAAATTAATGCAAACGTTGATGATTATCGTAGCCCCTTCGTCATAAACGGCTGGGCATATTGATTTATCGGATTTCGAAGCCGGAACATATGTGAAGTGTGTGTGTGTGTGAGAGTGTTGGTTCAACCAGAAATATTCCAACAGTATATGCTGGATAAAAGCTAAATAAAAGTGAAAAAATAAAATAAAATTTATAAATTTAGACACTTTCAGTGCGTGCAGAACTTTGAGATAGTATAGGGTATATAGACTTATACTTCCGTGTTTCATAGAGTGGGAATCTCTTAAAGAAGCTGATCCATAAATATAGCAGTTATTATCTTTGCCCCTTTAGAATAAACTGTAGGCCATATTGACTTTTCAGTTAAATGCATCTTGAGAACTCAATCCGTAAAGTTTCAGTGTACGTTTGGTCTTATCTTTACCGTCTTTGCCATTAACTGTAGGCCATATAAGCACTCAAATGTATGTGCATGTGTGTGTTGTACATTCATATTGATTTATGAAACTTCGAAACCTGAGGACAGCAACTGATGTGAGGTGTTTGATCAAGTTTGACAGTTTCAAGGAAAAACTCGACTATAAATATGCCAAACAAATGTCTGTTTATGCAGCAAGCTAAATTCAGCGAACTGTTAACGGAGCTCTCTCCAGCATACAGACGTATCGTGTACAGTTTTCTGCTTGGCTTTGTGTTATTTAAAGTTATCAAAGTCTTGCACAAAACCCCGCCCCACCCACGATTTGCCACCCGCCAACTACTATGGCGCCTCAACGTTGCAACGTTGCCAGCTGTCAACTGTCTCTATGTGCATCAAAAATGCATACCTATACCCATACATGTGTATACATATGTATGTGTGCCGCTCGTTTAGTCTCTTGCTCTCTATGTCTTTTTGCTCCTTCCCATTCCCTCTTGGCAATCTTTATGCATTTATAATGTTCTGTCTTGTCAGTCACTTGTGCGCTTCTTGTTGCTCTTCTTGGTTCTGTCCACCGTTAAGGTTTGGCCATGTTCAATTTATTATACCCTCACCAGAGGCATTGTAACTTTGATCAGCTGCAAACAGATTAAACGAAATATTTAATAATTATTGTAATTATTATATTGATTATTTCCATGATACCCCATGGGTCCCTCAATCCTGAAACCTGCCACAGAACTATCTCTCTCAGTATAAATTATTTTCTAGATGGAATCATTGTCATAAAAGCTTTCCACAAATTGTAGTTGATTATTTTTTGTATTTTTGTAGATATAGTTTACGAGTTTTATATGCAATTCCTGATAGCACTCAGAGGAGCGCGTTCGAAAATGCGCGGGCGGGTACACTTTTTAGTTTTTTTTTTTGTTTCTTGTTGCTCTTTGTTTTGCTATCTACCGCTTGCGTTCCGTTAATTTCAGTTTGTTTTGCTGTTAGTTCCGTTTGTCTGCTATCCGTTATTGACATTGGAGAGCTGCGTATTGTATCGATTCCGTTGGCGGATAATTTATTTGGCTTGCAGCTTGGTGCATTTTTTTCGGTTTACAGTTCAGTTTTGCAATTAACTTTTCTGCTTTTCATATTTCCAGGAAAAGCGAACTTTGTTTGCTTCTAGCTTTTCCGCTTTTCCGCAGTTTTGTTTGTTTCTTTCGTTGTTGCTGTTGTTGTTTTTGTTGTTTTTGTTGTTGTTTTGCCATTTTTATTGCTGCACTTTTTGTTTATGTTTTATGCTGACTATTTACGCATTTAATTTCTTTATTGTGTAAATACACAAAGTTCTGTTCTGGCAAAGCTTCTGAGCTCAGGCACCATTCCCCACCCACCCCCATCTAGTTGGGGGTCTAGCGACTATTTGTGGGCCGCAACCTTCGCAGTGGCATTGCCGTCTATGAGCCTGGCGACATTCGTGATGCAATGCACCCGAAATAGTTTGGACCCAAGAATAGGCATTATAATAAACGCAAGTCAACTAATGTTCACCCTCTCTCTCCCTCTTTCTCTTCTTTTCTCACTGATTGCAGGTGCAGCGGCGGCCCAACTGCGTCAAAGTGTTAAACGTGCCATTGCGAGAATGCCACTTCGCGGTCCTACGTCATAATCAACCATCCACTGCATCAGACTTCAGCATTCAGCATTAAGAGAAATCAGCACTAGCCAAAGCACGAGCACGATCACTAAGCACAAAAAAAACCAACCCAGAGAAGAATTCAACTGCAACCTGCAACACAGCCAAATCGAACGCAACAAGAAAGCTTCCAGAATCCAAAGCCAAGCGAGCGAGGAGTTCCAATTCCCACTTCCCCACACTTCCAGAGCGAAGCAGGAGCCCCCAGAGAACCCAATTAGTTGTTAACTGAAACTGAAACGAGAGAAGAAGCCAACATTACATCACAGCTCCGCCATGAAACTGCTCATAAAGTCCATTGCCACCTGCGCATTAGTCGCGTTCTTCATCTATGCCACCGCCCAGTCTCTGGCCAAGGTGCAGGATGTGGATGATGGCACGAGGGTGTCATACAGGTCGTCATTGAACAGGACCGAGTTCAGCCAAAACCAAAGCCCATTTCACAGTCGACGGCTGCGGCAGGCGCCAGATGATGGCGGACTGGAAGGGACTGAGATTACGTTCAAAGAAGAGAATGCCGAAGACAGGGCAACGAAAACCGACTCGGAAGAGATTCGAGTCTGCGACGCGGGCCTGATATTGCCGCTGTGGATGCCGCAGAAGAATATCTCGCTGGGAGATCGTCTGATACGTGGCTTCGTCTACTTCCTGCTACTGGTGTACCTGTTCGTTGGAGTGTCCATTATCGCGGACCGTTTCATGGCGGCCATCGAGGCGATCACATCCACAGAGCGGACCGTGGTGGTGAAGGGGCCCAACAACGAGAAACAGACCATGCATGTCCGCATCTGGAACGAGACGGTGGCCAATCTGACGCTGATGGCTCTGGGATCGAGTGCACCGGAGATTCTGCTCTCCGTTATCGAGATCTATGCCAAGGACTTCGAGAGCGGCGACCTGGGGCCGGGCACCATTGTCGGCTCCGCTGCCTACAATCTGTTCATGATCATTGCCGTGTGCATGGTGTGGATACCGGCGGGAGAGGTGCGTCGGATCAGGCATCTGCGCGTCTTCGCCGTCACATGCCTCTTCTCGATCTTCGCCTACGTCTGGCTCTGGATGATCCTCTCCGTCATCTCGCCGGGCATCATCGAGGTGTGGGAGGCCCTTGTCACCCTGCTCTTCTTCCCAGTCACGGTCATTTGGGCCTACATTGCCGAGCGCCGCTTGCTCGTCTACAAGTACATGGACAAGAACTTCCGCGTGAATAAACGCGGCACTGTGGTCGCCGGCGAGCACGACCAGGTGGAGATGGATGCGGAGAAGGGGCGCCATCCGATTGTCAGCTTCCCGTCGCATCGCAACTCCGATGCGGAGGCCTTCGACGAGGCGCGACGCGAGTACATCACCGTGCTGTCGGAGCTCAGACAGAAGTATCCCGAGGCGGAACTGGACCAGTTGGAGATGATGGCCCAGGAGCAGGTCATCTCGCGCGGCAACAAGTCGCGCGCCTTCTACCGAGTCCAGGCCACCCGCAAGATGGTCGGCAGCGGCAATCTGATGCGCAAAATCCAGGAGCGCGCCCACAGCGATCTCACCGAGGTGAAGGCCTCGCTGCAGCAGAGCGACGAGGACGATCCGGACGATCAGCCGACCCGCATCTACTTTGAGCCGGGCCACTACACCGTCATGGAGAACTGCGGCGAGTTCGAGGTGCGTATCGTGCGCCGTGGCGACATCCACAGCTACTCGACCGTCGAGTACGAGACGCAGGATGGCACAGCCATCGCCGGCACCGATTTCATTGGCAAGAAGGGGGTGCTCAGCTTCCCGCCGGGCGTTGACGAGCAACGCTTCAAGATCGAGATCATCGATGACGACATCTTCGAGGAGGACGAATGCTTCTACATTCGCCTGTTCAATCCATCGGAAAATGTGCTGCTATCGGTGCCCCAGATCGCCACCGTAATGATCCTGGACGATGATCATGCCGGCATTTTCGCCTTCACCGATTCCTTCGTTGAGACCAGCGAATCGGTGGGACTCTATGAGATATCCGTGATGCGCTATTCCGGAGCCCGTGGCACCGTCATTGTGCCCTATTGGACCGAAGATGAGACCGCAGTCGGTGGCAAAGACTTTGAGGCCGTTCGCGGCGAACTGATCTTCGAGAACAATGAAACAGAGTGAGTACATAAGCCACCATCAATGAATGTTAACCTACATACCATGCGTGTATATCCCGAAGTGACCCACTATTGATTATTGTTCTGCGTGTTAGCAGCGCTCCGATTGCGATTCCGCTAGGTAGGCTGTCACGCAATGCGAATTCCCGACGGAGTCTTTCAGCAAACTCGCAATTTCCGCTTGGGAATTGACAAGCGGCCTTTTGTGCGTGCGCCTCGCCTCGAATCGATTAAAGTTGAAATAATTTGGGTCTTTTAATTGCCACACCACCTGCCAGATGGCAATGGCAATGGCCAGAATGTGTTCGCTGCAAAATGGCAGACACTGAGGATATGGGTTTATAGCCTCCCCACCCCCCCAACTGGCATTGTCAGCGCTTCTGCACTGCACTGCCTGGCACCACCTGTTCTCGACTCATGAATCTATTATGTATATCCTGCTGTGTGCTTGTGCGCCCCCCTTGTCCTGGCTGCGTGCTGTGCGACAACGCCAACAATTCCCTGCCAGGCATTAACATTAACACCAACCAACCCAGCAAGCAAGCAGCACCAGGCAAAAACAGAACTGAACAGAGACCGAAACCAAGTTGTAATTAATTTTGCAAAATTTATTCATTTTGATGAAACATTTCGCAGACGACAGCCACACTTAGTTAACTTGTTTTGCATATGTTTTGCGGTGCTCATTGCCATGCCCATGTCCGTTTGCAAACTGACTGGCAGCACGCAACATGGCCACAAATATAAGTCAGTTTTGGGCAGCAGCAGCAACAGCAGCAGGACCAGCTAGGAGGCGCTCGAGCATGATTTATAGCCCTGCCAAATGAGCAGCATATGGTAGGAATTAGACAGGCCAAAATGCGTCAAATGCACTGCGAAAAAATAGTAGTTCGAGCTGTTTTCATTCACTTCTAAGAACTGTTTTGCAATATCACTTAAAGGGAATCAAAATGTGTATATATTTCACTCAGTGTGGCTTTTATTTAAAGGTCCATTATCGCAGCAGTTTGGATTATCTTGCGCTGCTCCTGTGAACTATTTTTGGACCCAAGTCCCTTGAGGCACTGTCCTTTGCTTAGCTTCCTTTGCAGTAGCTTTAACTTGAAGGGTCCCTAATTGGGACCTATGTTGGACTTTCTTACTTGGATAATTGGATTACAGAGAGTTGTTGGTATTTTATGTGGGGTTTTCCTCCCTCTAAAAACTTCATCTGGCACCAGCTTTTTCTCTCTCTCTTTTTCTCTTTTGGGAATGGAATGTCGGACGTTCTACGGACTCCTCTCCTCCATGCCACATTCAGCTGCGGCTTGGCGCAAAATTGTTTCAAACACGTCGCGCTCAGACGTAACATAAATTGTTGAGGTTTTTTCATTATAAAGTAATAACCAAAACGGGGCAGACAATTAGAGGAGAGCACACAATGGCACACACCTCCCTCCGCCCACCTGTCAACGTCAACGGGGGAAAACTTAAAGGAATTAAGTGGCAACGATGCCGAGCCACACCAGGGGGAATGTACCCGTACTCATACTCATACAAGTGGATGGCACATCCTGCTGAAATGCTCCCAAAGTGGTCGTTAAGCTTTTAGCCGGCGAGTCAGGGCTTAAACAGTTTTTGCCATTTGCAATGACAGTTGGAATACTTTTTAATGTTTGTTAGGTGGTGTTCTCCATGGATGCACTTGCTCTCCCTCTCGCTCTCTCTCACTCTGCAATTATTCGCAAAGTTTTAAAACGTTTTATTGTAGCCACTGGCCAAATAAATTTCCTTTTTTTCGTTTCCTTTTCTTTTCCTTGCGCCGCTATTCGCACGCCATCTCTGCCCATCTCTGTCTTGGGGTGGTAGCAATACTTGGCAGCATTTACAGCCACTCAAGTTGAATGCCTTGCGGTGGCTTTGGTAATAATGTTTGTTTTTAATGTTGCCAGTTTCGCCGCCTTTGGCCTCGTCAGTGTCTCACGCGGCGGCAGTGGCAGGATGCCAGGCAAAGGCGCGCACTGTAGCACTAGTAGCTGTTCGATGAGCATCTCGGGGGCACATTTGGCTTGTCAGCCAATGCACTCTGTACCACTCCGATTCAATGGAGGCGCCCCGATAGTGCCTCGAGAGTATTCACTGAACGTTGGCCATAAACTAGGGCGCCCAATTAAACACATTTTGATGTATTTTTGAATGGCCATTAAGCGGCGAAATTGTGGAGAATGGGGAGCGACGTGTAATGGAATTTCAATGTGTAGAAGCGGGAAAGAATGAAAACATTAAATTTTCTGGCAATTCCACTTTGAAGTTGATTTGGGTGTGGATTTGTTTTGGGTCTGTGTCTGTGGCTGCAATAAATTTACTTTTCACCCACAATAACTTTTTCTGTTCTGGTCTGATTCTGTTTTGTGCTTCAGTTTTAATGAAAATCAAAATCCGCCACAGCCACTACCTATCCCACACAAACAGACATACATACATATATCCACATCCACTGGGACACCCACAATCAGTGGTAATTCCCAGCTTTCAGCAAGCGGAAATGCGCAACAGCAGCGGCAGCAGCCATGTAGCTGGCCATCATAAAAAACAGCAGAAGGAGCAGCACAGGCAGTAGAAGAGGCAGCTGTAGAGGTGGCAGCGGCAGTCAGTAATGCCATAAAGTTCTCTGGCAGAACAGTGAAAAAAAAAGAAACACTGAACACGAACAGGGAGGAGCAGGGGCGGTCCACAAAGTGCCAACACTGTTGCATAAATTTGTATAATCTGGCGGGGGGAACAGTGTGGGGACAGGGGGCATTTGGATTGAGTTATAGGGCCTTAAATAACCCCACCACACACCACACACCACACACCCCCACTTGCCACTTGCAGCGTTGCAGGCGGAACTTGATTACGTGTAAAATAAAAGCTAAAATTCATAGCCTACTTTTCTGCGTCCTCAGGGCAGCGAAGAGTCAGTTGAGGAGTTTAAACAACAGACATTTCCATTAGGGCCCACCCGGACAGGTGTCCGTGGCATTTGTTAATTAGCGACAGCTTAGGCGGCCCCAAAATACTACGAGTATTTTGCCAGCCACAAAAGGTAGCATTTAAGAATCTCTTTTTGGGGCAGCTTCAAGATCTAGGCCCAAAGACCCACCTGTGTATAAGTAGCCACAATTCCTGGCGTGCATGAACCCACTTCCAAGCATATAAAAGTCAAACATAAAATATGTACACAGGAGGAGGCCCTTGTCCTTGTTCCAAGTTGAAGCAAAGATAAGAGCAAATATTTTATTAAGCACACATAATCTAAAATTGAAATTTATGCTATTTCCAGCAGTCGGGCGGGCAGAGCAGAGCAGACGCAGGCACAAAATCCAACCAACTTACAAGCTATCATCCACTCGTGTGCGGTTTTTTGCTTTCACTTTTCATGTTACATTTCCTGTGGCCGGCGGGGAAATGCCCAGGAAGGGCCCAGCTACTGCTGCTCCGGCTGCTACGGCTGGCTAACCTGACTGACAAGTAAGCGAAGTCTGTCTCCAACTGGCTGAGCTTGTGGCAGTGGCAGTCACGGTCTGTGGCAGTAGCAAGCTGCCTAACTGCCAGAACTTTCCCATCCATGTGAGCGTGAATACGAGCAAACAGCTACAATGCCTTCGTCTTCGTCTCTGCCTTTGGCCATGCTCTAGCCCGTAAGCCCATTTAAAGGCACTCAGGCAATCCTTGCTTGGCTGTCATGAGTGGCCAATTCCTGGTGGAATTACAAACAGGTAGCATGGAATTTTGAGAGCTATAATCCAATTTCATTTAGATGGAACACAATAGTTTAAGCTAAATTAGTTCCGGTAGAACCCAGAAAGTTTTGAGAGAGTATCTACCATTCGATCGGTTCAATCAGGGCGAGTGGAGGAGTCTCTTATTTGCGATTCAATTTGCTTTGGGGCTGGTTCGTGCACGGGCCTGGGCCTACGCCAGGGCTTGGGCCAGAGTCCGGGTCCTTGCTCTTCGTACGGCATATAAATTACCGACGAACGGCAACAGGCAACAAATTGTCTGTCCGTCCATCCTAGCCAATGTCAATTGGTTGTTGTTGTTGTTGCTGTTGCTGCTTCTTGGGGCTTCGGTTCGAATTTCTCGTGTTTATCTTGATGTCGTTAGCCTGAATCGTTGTCGGTCCCAACAGTCTCCCTGCCCGATCCTTGGCTGCGGTCGCTCAACGGGGGGGTGGAGACCTGTTTTACGAGGATTTTGGTTACTTTTGTTTTTGCTTGTTATTATTATGACATCCTCAACAACAGGAGGGAGCTTCATCAACATCGAGATGAGCAGCAGCAGCAGCAGCCGTGGGCTTGGGGCATCTGTTGCTCGACCTTCCCAAAAGGGGTTTAGGGTTACGTTGCCCCCAAAAGTACTATGGCACCCAACCAAACCCATGCCCACCCCCTCACCTTGGCAACACTTTGGCACAACTTTTTCCAAAGTATATTTTAAGACTCTTTAAAACTTGTTGAACTGCAAAGCAGCGGCAATAAAATTGCGATTTTCCCTGGCAATAGCAGGGAAAATAAAATAAAACCTACGCGTAGAATTCCACCTTCTCCCGCTCCTACCGCCCTGCGTACTGCTACAGAAAGTTTTTCTAATAATACGAAAATGCTGAAGCAGCAGCTTTAAATTTGGAAAGCAATTTAGGGGGTGGCTTAAGTACTTTTATCCCCGCCATCAATTAGAAAAATGCTTTACATAACTGAAGACAGATGAAATTATTTATTTATTTATAAATATTCAAAATATACTTGCATAAAAAACAGCTAAAATTAAAAATAAATGGGCGAACAAGGCAATGCAATTTATATTCTTCTGGCACTCTGAAGGTATAACTCTTTTTGGCTTAGTTTTAGCCAACATTGTTGGATATCTCTAGCTCAGATGGTAATCAATATATGTGAGAACCCTGGAGCTCTGACTACACCCATCACCTGGGTTTGTGTAGCATTCGCATATATTTATTTTTGATTGGAAAAATGCAC